GATTTAGTTGTCTACTTTCTAAAAAATCTCATTTTAAAGAAATGTGTTTAAAATGTTAAGTAAGTCCTTCAAATGGGTTTGTGGTGCATTCATCTCAACAATGCTTAAACCCTATCTTTAGGATTAATTTTTTTTATTAAATATGGAAAATGGAAAACTAATTCTTGACAAATAAAAACAAGAAAGGAGTACGAAAATTAAATTTTTATTAATGTGGAGGCAAGAAATCGAACTGACCTTGTCTTGTCTTCGAAAGATCTGCCAAGTGCCAAGGCCAAATGCGATAGCTCCGGGTATGAAAAGGAACACATTGGACCATGAAGACCGCTTATCATTCTCTGGTCAGCACATCAACAAATGAAAATCCACTGTCAATAGCTCAATAAAACGATTAAAGCTAAGATCATCTATTGGAAAGCTAACCAACTCTTACTGTACACACACCGAGAGGCTGATTTTGGGAGACAGTGGAGAAAGCAGCCGCGGCGGTCGGAAAGGGAGAAGAGCGCGTGGAGTGAGGAGAGCACTTTAAGAGTACGGCTGAGTCGCCACCTCGACGGCGGAGGATTGTTAATAGATTTCTGGAGACAGCAGTGGACATGACGATGAAACTAGCATTAGGGAAAATTGGAACAATACCAAATGAGTTCAAAATATTAAAAAAAAATAGTATCTCCGTCTCACTGTCTTTGTCCACTTTTGACTTTTGAAATTGTTCATCTATTAAAAAATTAAGAACTTTAAGAGTACGGCTGAGTCGCCACCTCGACGGCGGAGGATTGTTAATAGATTTCTGGAGACAGCGGTGGACATGACGATGAAACTCGCATTAGGGAAAATTGGAACAATACCAAATGAGTTCAAAATATTAAAAAAAATTAGTACCTCCGTCCCACTGTCTTTGTCCACTTTTGACTTTTGAAATTGTTCATCTAAGCACTTTGACTCATCAAATTCTCTCAATGTGTAAGCCTAAATATAGTCATGTGTGATCTTGTTTGATTTGTCTTAACATATATATTATTAATATATAATTTCTATAATTTTTTAATATACAAATTACAAGATAAAATGAATTTAAAAAGTGCATTGGATGGTGTGTCAAATGGTAAGTGGACAAAGACAGTAGGACGGAGGGAGTACCTCAATACTATCCCTTACAAAAGTTTACAATTTTACATAGATAGCTTGATATTAGTGAAATGGCATTGATGCTTTTAGAATTTTCATATTTTTTTATTCCTACTTCAACACTAATGTATGTTTACATCAATGTCCTAAGATTGGAGTAAAAAATAAAAACATTTAGGTCTCGCTTGGTACACGGAATTCAAATCATGGAATTAGAATTGATGACTTCAATTCCAATTCTGGTGTTTGGTAGTACAAAAATTATGTGGATTTGAAATTGATAGTGCAAAAAATGAATTGGAATTGGAAGGATCCAATTCTATGGAATTGAATCCAATGGAATTTAAATTCCAATTCAATTCCAAATCCATCAATTCCGTATACCAAACGGACCCTTATCAATTTTTGAAGTCATTTATTGAAACTTAGATCTTGTTTGGGAGTGATTAACTTCTGGATAAAGTAATTTTCACAAAAGCTGAAAGCAAAAGTACCTCATACTTGCTTCTCCAAAACGGTGTTCTGTGTATAAAATAGTAGTGCTGAAAAGCAGAAGTTGACATGCCAAACAGAATAAAATCACTTTCACTCAAAGCAGAAGCTAAATTACTAAAAGCAGCGCACTACCAAACACCTTCTTAGACTATATATATGTAAACTTGTGAGCTAACTCTACTATTCATCCTTCAACTTTATAAGTTGTGCACGATTGATCTTTCAAATTTTAAAAATTCATAAATAGTTCTTCAACTTTATCAAAAGTAAAAATCATTAAAAAGTTATATATTAATAATTTCTTATGAATTATATGAAAATAAAATTTTATACTCCACATATAAATGATTTAATTTTTACATGTACAAAAATAAAAAATATCGTGTGTGTGCCTATATATATATATATATATATATATATATATATATATATATAGTGAAAAATGAAAATATTTAGTTTGACACAAATGAAATATATTTTAATTTTTTATTTCAAACACAGACAATTTTCATTTTTTAGAACACTTTTAAAAAAATATTTTTGAAAAAAAACTTTTCATTATTTCAAAGACAAACATTTTTTCTCTTTATGAAAAATAGAAAAAAATGAAATGTAATAAAGAAAAATAGGAGAGGAGGTGTTGCTACTCATTTTCCAGAACCATAAGGGGCAGCGAAGTTATTCATTTAATATTTGAAAGGTATTTTAGTCTAGAGGGCATTGGTATAGGAATATTAGAATCACGGGGACAACGGCGTAAATTTTGAAACTTTGAAGAGTATTGGTACAATAAACTCTATCATATCATTAATTATTAACAATCGTGGTTTGGTGAGATAATAAAATCATCACAAAGGCATCGTAAGTTCCAATTATAGGTTGAAAAAATGGGATTCAAAATTAAAGAAGATTAGAAAAAACTTGGGAATATTGAGAAGAAAATTTAAAAATACTTATAGATTGAAAGAAATGAAAGAAACTATAAATAGTTAAAAAATACTTATATGTGTGTGTGTGTATATATATATATATATATATATATATATATATATATAGACACACACACACTAGTATTTCTCCGTTATAATAATTATAATTTTATCCTAATTGTACATTTAGGGGCACCTTAATGTTTTGGGTCCCTTTATTAGCTACTCATGTTCACGCTAGTAAATTTCGAATGAGAATGACCTCATGTTCAGGAGATTAAAATTAGGTATTTTTACGTGATAATATTTTAAAATTTTATGTGAAAAATGTAACTAATATTTTAGAAGTTGATTTTAAAAATTTATACTATTATTTTAATTATTTTATAAGTTGATTTTATAAAATTTTTAATCAAAAAAATGAATTTTAGTTCTCACTTAATTGCATAAAATTTTAATGTAGGTTCTAATTTCTTCAATAATGTTCCCTCTATGTTTGCATTTGATCTTTTTAATTGGTTTTTCTTGTCAATTTTGTATACTTTAACCTCGATATATAGAACAAACATTCTCTTTCGATAGAAATGCATTACCAATAACTTCTTTTTGAAACCAAGGAATCTCTTCATTTTGGAGATAAAAAATATGCATTTTTATTTTGGTATTTTCTCCATGTTTATTCCTATTCTAATACAGAGTATTTTTTTCCAAAAAATTATATCGACACTGTACGTAAAACATATACTCCGTATACAACTAAAATTGGATATATCCATATTTTGATTAAAACTGCCACATCATTCAATCGTTAATAGGTGGCGGGTGATTTGTTAAAATATTGTCATGTAGATTCGCCACTTGTCGCAATTCTAGGAGATTAACTCTCAAATTTAATATATAAAGATAAAGATATATATAGACACACACATGCACGCGCACACACATTTTTCTTCCCTTTATGAAAAAAAGAGAAAATGAAATGTAATAAAGAAAAATAGGAGAGGAGTGTTGGTGCCCATTTTTACAACCATAGGAGCAGCGGAGCTATTCATTGAATATTTGAAGGCTATTTTAGTCTAGAGAGACATTGGATTAGGAATATTAGAATCACGAGGGGCAACGACATAAGTTTTGAAAACATGAGGGGTAACGATGCACATTTACCAAACTACAAGAGGTATTTGTGCAATAAACTCTATCATTAACTATTAATGATCGTGGTTCAGTGAGATAAAAAATCATCACAAAGGCATCATAAGTCCCGGGTCAGTTTATAGGTCGAGAAAATGGTATTCAATATTTAGGAAGATAAGAAAAAACTTAAGAATTTTGAGAAGAAAAATTAAAAGAGTTAGAGAAATGGAAATAGTTGAAAATAAGGATGATGCATTTCCCACATGTATATATAGGTTGGTTTTGGGGAGAATCTATATATGGTGCTTGGTGAAGGAAATAAGAATGATGCATTTCCCACATGTAGTAGTGCATTTTTGGTACAAGAAAAAATTGATATACTCCGTATATACTTATAAAATTACCGCCGTGATTTTTTTATTTTTTTCAATTTTTTTATTTTCAATATCACTTAGGTCTTACATTCTAAAGTATCATATGTCTACAAATTTTTTTTATTAAATCTCATTCAGTGAAACCAAAATGTTTGACACACTCACATTTTTATGATGCTTGGTGAAGGTTTTGGTGAGATCACATGCAAATTTCTTTTCATATATATTCTCACCGAAACATTTTTATTAGACACACGCACATTTATGATCAAAATGTTAAATTGAAGACGGTAAAAGGTCAAATGAAAAGATAATAATCAGACTGAAGGAGTAATAATTAATGGTCAAAACATAATTATTAGACAACCTCTTGTTTCGTAGAGCTTTTGATGTAGTTTTTTTAATATGTGAAGTTTATTTTTTAATTCAGCCACAGTTCTCTAATAAATTGCATTTAAACCACTAATTAAAAATGAATTAACTAAATATATGTACTATACTAACAATTCAATATCTAACATGCATGTATTGTATATGAAACAATATATAAATATTATTTGAGGCACCACAAATTAAAAATGAAATACCTAAATATATGTGTGCTAACAATATCTAACATGCATATATGTGCGCGTTATTTGAAATTTCATCTCCATTTTGAATTTTTAACAATGATTTCGTTTATGGAAAAATATTTATAACTAACCCCCGCTCCTTCATTTGTGTGTATATATATATATATATATATATATATATACATTCTACACATGCAAGCAACGTATTGTACGAATTATACCTTCAACATGGAAAAAATGGGTCCTAATAAGCCTTCTTCTCTAACAAAGCCCAAATTTTTTGTGCTTCTTCTCCTCTTCCTCTCCCTTTGTGCCCTCTACCATACCTTTACTTACTTACACTCTTACTACTCAAGCCCACAACATCCTCGAACTCTGCCCCGTTTCATCAGTTTCATGTTTTCTCGAACGCCATCTTCGGGACTCCCAAGCTGGTACGCGTTTTTGGCCCGCGAATTCAAAAGCAGGAAGATGAGAATCGCTTCGGTGGACGCGAAGTTCGACTGCGGCAGTGCGAAAGAGGACGTGATTGACGTCGTGAATGTGGAGTTCGAGCGCGTTTCTGAAAAGCAGATTCAGTGGAACGACTTGTTTCCAGAGTGGATTGACGAAGGGAATAGCGCGCAGAGGTGCCCGGTGGTCCCGGTGCCCGAGGACCTCGGGACGAAGTACACGGGGATCGACGTGGTGGTGGCGGAGGCGCCGTGCGGGGTGAACAAAAGGGATGTGTATAGGCTACAAGTGAACTTGATTGTGGCAAACTTGGCGGTAACAAATAGAAACGGGCCGGTTTACGTTGTGTTTGTTGGGAAATGTGGGCCGATGATTGAAGTTTTTCGTTGTGATGATTTGTTATGGGCTCAAGAGGATGTTAGGATTTACAAGCCCAATCCCAACAAATTGAAGCAAAAGCTGGCTATGCCGGTCGGTTCTTGCCAGATTGCCCATCCATTGGTTGAACAAGGTAATTAATTAATTAATCACTAATTCAATTCTGTCCAAAATCATATTCCCACCTAGCTACTATATTTGGCCATCGCCAAATTATATTTTCATTATTTTTGAAAATGTTAAACTAGTGGGAAAACATTTTCACCAGGCAACCTCGATCTCAACATAACTAATTTGGTTCAAGTCTTATTAAAATGGGAATTTAACAATTTTGGGTAATTAAATACGGACTAACAAATTTTCAATTTAATTGTACGTCAACGTACGTTTAAAGTAAGATATTGTACCATAAAAAAAGTAAGATATTATTATTACGTTGAAAGGTCATTTTATTTCGAATAGAATGTGTAACTTTTTTTTTTACTAAACTTATTTATTTAGGTTTAATTTTCTTTTCTCTCCGGTGCGATAAAGGTTTGGATTCCCAACATAATTAACTTGTTTTGGCTCATTCATACCCAAGTTTAATTTATAAACTTGTAATTAGCATATCTTTGTCCAAAAGTACCGGTAACCCAACAATTACCTAACGTTATTACAACAAATATTAAGGTTATTATATTATAATTAGTATTTAGTAAGTATAATAAGTCTTATTTTGTTGTATCATGATTTGTTTTTTTAATACTATAAATGATGAATGAAATCAACAGGAGAAGAAGAAAAGTGGAGACCAAAGCGTAAAAGAGAAGCCTACGTGTCAGTTCTCCACTCCTCCGACACCTATGTTTGCGGAGCCATAGCATTGGCTCAAAGCCTCAAACAAACCAACACAACCAAAGACCTCTTACTACTCGTTGACTCCTCGGTCTCCCAGGTTTCCCTTCGAGCCCTCCGACTCGCCGGGTGGGACAATATCAAAACCATTCAACGGGTGAAAAACCCGCACGCCAAAAAGGACTCTTACAACGAGTGGAACTACAGCAAGCTGAGGATATGGAGCCAGCAGGTGGCGTCGGAGTACGACAAAGTCATGTTTGTCGACTCCGACGTCCTCCCTCTGAGGAACATGGACGCGTTCTTCACGTACCCGGAGCTGTCGGCCGCCGCCAACGACAACCACCTCTTCAACTCCGGGGTGGTGGTGCTGGAGCCCTCGGCGTGCACCTTTCGAACCCTGATGGAGGCGCGGGCCCATGTCGTCCCGTACAACGGGGGCGACCAGGGGTTCCTCAACGAGGTGTTCATCTGGTGGCACCGCTTCCCGGCGAGCGCGAACCGGCTCAAGATTTTCGCGAGCGGCCGAAACCACCGGCACCTGCTCCCGGAGGACGTGCACGCGGTGCACTACTTGGGGCAAAAGCCGTGGGCGTGCTACCGGGACTACGACTGCAACTGGGACCGGTCGGAGTACCAGAAATTCGCGAGCGACTCGGCGCACGAGCGGTGGTGGAGGGTTTACGACGACATGCCGGCGGGGCTCAAGGAGTTTTGCGCATTGAGTGCTAAAGATGAGGCGAGGTTACAAAAGTGGAGAGGAAGGGCTGAGAATGCTAGCTTCCCGGATGGACATTGGAAGCTCAAAATAACTGATCCGAGAAGCCATTCCTTCATCAATTGATACTTCTTCTTTCTTCTTTCTTATTCTCTTTTTTTCTTTCTTTCTTTCATCATATCTTGTTTCATCATTCTAGCTCGATCAAAGTTTATAGAGTGTAACTACATCATTTACGGAAGCAATACAAAGTTATACTACTAATCTAAGTTTATAATATGATTAAAATAATTTTGTAGCATACTTTTGATTCACATTTCTATACGTTAAAAATAAAAGAAAATGCTCAAATTAATAGGGCTATGCAATAAATATAGGAATATGACATTCAATAAAACTACTTCCACCTTCAGCGAACAATGGCTAAAAAGAATGCAAAAAAAATGGAGAAATAAGCAAGGGCAAGAGAAGAATGTGTCAATTTGAACCTCTTGCCAACACTGGAGAGCTAGTTCTTTTCTATTAGAATTCTAAAGTTGAATGTTCAAGGAAACTGAAACTGAGTTAAAAATGTTTGAAACTTAGTGTTAAATAATCAACCAAATAATTATGTAAAAAAACTTTAATTTGGAATAAAAAATTATTACTCGTACGTGTTTGAGGTAGCATGTTAATATTTAGACATATAATGTTATGATATATTCATCATATATTAATACTTTTTTGAAACTATTGTTGGAAGAAATTAGAAAAAGTTAGAAAAAATTAGAAAAATTGAACTTGAAAGAAGAAGTTGAAAAAACCTAGGAGTTTGGAAAAAATTGAAAATTAACTTTTGTAACCAAAGAACATGCCCTTATTAAATTTGGGAAAAACATGTCAAACACAAGAAAAACAATCCTATAAAATCTCACTCACAGTAGGATCTAGGGAGAGTATATCTCACTAAAAAAATGCTCCCTCCATCCCTTAAGTAGATGTCACTGTCACTATTACGATTGCTCGATAACTTTTGTTTGTTTGTGCATTTTCATTGATCATTTGATAGAATAAAATATTCTTATCACATCTTGTTTTGCAGAACTTTTGATGTATTTTTCATTGATCATTGATTATCTCACGCAATACTACTACTTGGCTAATACAGTTCAACAAAGAAGACTAGTCCACTTGAAGCTTATTACAGACTAAACTTTGCAGAACCCCAGTTTGAAATGGCAATACATCCCAAACTTTGCACTAGTTCATTTGGAATCATTATGTTCAACAGCTTACACATGAAGATATGGAAAGAATGCACCCTTGGGGTAATCATTCACCAAAAAAATCACACCTAAAGCCACATTGGCATAAAACTAAATACATCACGCGTACTATATAACTACACTCTATCGGAAAAAGAATGACGCATTTGAATAAATAAATAAATTTTGAAAAAGGTATTTATTTCTCACTGGTATTATATGCTCTTGAGAGCCTTGCGTGTGGTATGCGCGAGTGTTTTTCTCATCTCGCAAAACATAAATGTGGCCACTCTGGAGGATCATTGCTTACAAGATTCGCCCAAAAATTTGCGAGCGAGAGAATGTAGTGCTCTTCATTCCAAATAACAAGCTTCATTCCTAATTCTGAAAGTTACCAAGCAATCGAGTTAGAGGAAAGTAAAGCAACACTTCAATCCCAACAATGACCTTGTTTGGGAAGAGCGTTAGCATTTTGGCTAAAATATTAACTGTGTAGATTAATACGGAAAACGCTAACGCTAAAGGCTACAGTCATATAGCCTTTTCAAAACGCTAACGCTAATCCCCAACACTGATGCCAAATGGGGCCAATATTGCTAGATAACAGAAAATAAATATAGATGCTAATAAATGAAGTACTCCGTACGTTTCAAAAGAGTGGTTCCCTTTCCAGGTTTAGCAACAGTAGTAGTGGAGATAGAATGGCATATCATTTTTAACCATAACTTTCCCAAAATAAGTAATCGTAAGCCCTTGCCCAAAAATAAATTACAGCTGAAGTTCAAAGCTTCAAGAGGCAGTTCAGCATTTTATAGTTGACTAAGAGAACAGCCACTAATGTGATTATTTAAGGCTTATCTCACACACACTAACTCCAACATTTGAAGACAGCGATATATATGCGAGTCTTAAATAACATCCATCATTTTGGAATCCAAGATGAGATTAGGATCTGTCAAGCTCAGATCTATTATATTTTGCATGGGTCTGTCCAACTGAGATTTCTACCTGGTTATGAAGCGTGCGGACTAATTTGAAGGGGGCAGGAAACATACATACAGGTGGAAACTGGCACAATTCAAGCTTCAGTGGTCAGTGACTTGCATGTTCTCAGTTTTTTGGCCCATTCCAAAAACATGTGTCTATTTCTATATTTGAGTTTTTTTTGGCTCATAGTTTTCTCACTCGGCATTAATTTTAATCACACAACTTTCATTTTATTAAACTGCTAGGAAATAATATTATTATTATTAACTAATAATAATAAGTATTAATATTAAGATAATATTGACAGTATCACTTTGTGTGTGATGGATGAGCCTTATAACAACAGATCTGACAATACATGTTCAGTTCACGCCTACATCAATTCATGTGTGCAAGTCCACAACCACATCCCTATTAAGATCCACTCCTTTCCCCTCAAACAAGTTCACAATTTTATCATTGGAGCAAAAATTCATTGACTTTGAAATTAATCAGATAATATGTTCATTTATAATACCAAAATACTCTTGAGCAATTTATATCAAAGTTGAGTCTGAATTACTTACCATGTAACACTTCTGAAGTTAGGAGTGATAGCCGACAGGTTACACCATTCCGACAGAAAAGGCGCTTTTGAAGAGTGAGTGCATCAATATCAAGAATAGATTTGATATTGTGAAGACACCATCTAATGGTGCTGGCAGGTTCTAGATCTGAAATACTCATGATAGCCTGCTCAAGTCCAGAGCTAGACCAAAGAGCATGACATTCATCTAGAAGAGAATGGATGCCTGTGAAATCAACAGAATTTAACCAAGTCCATGGCTGATAAAGTTTAATTGAAGCTTCAAGCACTATAGCAACCTTGTAAATCTCACTAAGCCCCAGAATGTATGTCCGTCCTAGTAATAATGTAATCATTCCATCATTCAATATTTAATTTTAATAATAGTTTATCTAACAATACGCCTTGAGGCTTGAGCAATATGCCAGGGGGAAAAACACCTAAAGACCGCAATATGCCATTTCGGAACATTGGTTTCACCATGCCTACAAAATTATGAAAACATATTGAGAAATTGTCCAGTACCTCTCTTATTGGAGAGTATTTGACTCTGAGCATCCTTATTCAATATCTGCTTCCAAAGCCATGTACCATGCTGCAACTCTCGAGTGCAAACAGAGATCATTGTGTCCCATGTGGATGCATAAAAATGTTGTCCCTCGACTGAGACCAATGTCAAAAGATTCAGCATTATGCTAGCATGATTGATAAGCTCATCCGATGAACAGAAATCCTTTTCCATCTGTATTCCAGGGCAAAGCATAAAAAAAATTACCAAGAATCCAAATAAATTATGCCCACAATTAAGCAACAACATTTTGTTTGAGTTTATCCTCGCTACTTTTTAAAGAAACAAATATAACATGCAGCTCAGCATTATACTCCCTTCGTCCCCAAAACAAGTTCTTGTTTTTGTTTACGATGGTTAAATGAAGTTATTTTTAATTCATTTTATTTAAAGATTAGTGTTATTTCAACATCGAAAGTTCTACATAACAAAAGATAACATGACAATATTATTTCATCAAATTGTTAGACAGGACTATTTTATTGATGTAAAACTGTACAGGATTATTTGTGTTCTCTAAATATAAATAGAGAACATGCCAACATGACTTTTACTAACCAACACAACTATTACAAACCAACACACCTATTAACAATAGAAACTACCCATAACTGCCTTTTAGAAACTACCCACTGTTTTTTAAATTAATTAAATATGTAAAACACACTAAATGACACCACACTAATTGACTCTATACTAACTGACCCGAACATTGACTCATTACCCATTCGGTTATATGTGAACAAACCCGATTATATCTAACAATCACGCCCCTAATCGTTGTTTGTTCACACTGATCTTCACAGCAACGTTGGTTCATCATCATCTTTAATCAAATTTGCAATGTGTTCCTTTTGATCCCATTTTGGACATTCTTTCAAAAATGCCCTAACTCATTGCACTTGAAGCACCTAATGTGACTCTTTTCCCGCTGAAACTGTCCACCATCCCAACTTTTCCCGGACCCCTGACCTCTACCTCGGCCACGTCCAAAGTCTTATAGGTTTGAGCTCCAGCAACCACAATGCTCAGTTTTGTGCTCCTTAACCTTCTCTTTTCCATCACTTTTAGTGAATAGTAGTTTACCTTGCATATCTTCTTCCTCGGGTTAAGGTTGGCAAACTGTTAACCATTCTCCCTTGTAGTCACAATCTGTCTATTTTTGTTGTTCTCCCATTGCACGACTTTTATTCCCATTCTAGTTTTGTGCTCCTTCCCAGGGCAAAGCATAAAAAAGTTTACCAAGAATCCAAATAAATTATGCCCACAATTAAGCAACAACATTTTGTTTGAGTTTATCCTCGCTATTTTTTTACAGAAACAAATATAACATGCAGCTCAGCATTATACTCCCTTCGTCCCCAAAACAAGTTCTTGTTTTTGTTTACGATGGTTAAATGAAGTTATTTTTAATTCATTTTATTTAAAGATTAGTGTTATTTCAACATCGAAAGTTATACATAACAAAAGATAACATGACAATATTATTTCATCAAATGATCAATGAAAATATGTAAAGAAGATTTTGTTTGACATTGTGAATAGCATATGGGAACTTGTTTAGGGAAGGAGGGATTCCTTGAATGGGACTTGAAAATAAATTTTAATACTTCGGCAGTCCAAAAATAATCTTTTCAATTACTATTAAAAAAGTCAAATATCCACTTTCTTTACCTATTTTCATTAATTGTCAATGTACATTTGAAAAAATTTTACGTTGGTTGCCAAGACCTAACACAACCTCCTCTTTTGCCAAGACAAATTTTCATTTATTATTTAATAAAATAATATAGTCAGGTCACCTCTTATTTTGCAGAACTTTTGATGTAGTCTTTAAATATAAAAAATTTACTTTCAAATTTTACATTAACGATTAAATAAATTGAATTGAAAATTCATAAACTAAAAGGGGAAGATTAATTAGGGACGAAGAGAGTAATTGATTCCTGATACTAGCTCATGGATGGTCCCAAAGAACTAAACAGAAGTAGGAATCCTAATAATATTAGCATTAATTCATATTATTTTAATCAGTGATAGATTTGTATGAGTATTAAAATGAGCATTAGTTTCCTATTATTTCTAGTGATATATTTCTATAAGTATTAGTTTCCTAACCTGCTTGTATTTTAAGTTACATATTTACTCCAAATATGTTTCCATAGGATTATTAAATGTATTTAAGCATTGTATCTTCTAGTTGAAGGGAGTTTCATAACAATGGCCTAAAAGATGAAAGGTATATACTATAATTATATAAGTGGGGTGAGTTGGAAACAATATAGAGAGTGATAGATGAATTTAGTCAGTGGAGTGAAGTTAAAATTTTGCCATGTCTAGCTATCACCACCCTTAACAAAAAGTCGTAGGAATCTGGAAAACGAGAAAAAGGTGAAGAGAAAAGAGGTCAAAAGGTCAGCTATTGTGTCATGTGTAAAGATGATGACACGAAGACCCCATATATTGGCTGGGATATCGTTTTTAAGTATGGTAATCTCCTCCCCGTATGACTGGTTGTGTTACGAATCTGATTGCCCAAACTCATTCACTAAAACCTCTTAAAATCCATCCCTCCCCCCCCCCCTCCCCAACCCTCCGCTACAGCTTTTATTCCCTCGTCTCCATCAAGCTTACCTCTGTCACTCTGTGCATGTCATATGCTCTAAATTTGCACAAGTTCTTGCAACCAAGCAACCAAGAGTCCATTGAAAAACTTCCTTCACTGTTATCCTTGATTTTTTAAGCCGAGTCAGCGGCCTGGCGGGCCTCACAATCTTGATCCAACTTCAACTTTCGACATCTCACACCACTTTGTCTCATATGCACCTTCTACCTATAAGTCAAGTCCCGCTCCCCTCCTACCCACTCATGGATTACTTTATTAAAATGGGTCTTCTTGAATCATGTTTTCTTATTCACAGATCGTCAAATCCATATCAGTTCACATCCAGAGATAGCTCTCAACCGCCTCGTATCATGATGTCAAAGTGTGAAGCAAGCATTTGATATCAGTATATCATCTATCATACCTAACTTCATATCTTCCAAGTCCCATTGTCATGAAGTTAACATTATATTGCTTAAGTCATGTTTCTAGAAGGCCAACTTCACAGGTACAACTCCACACTCCCTCTCAAGCTGGAGTATATAAATCAGATACTCTAAGCTTGTAACAAACATATTTTATTCTATGCCCTCTTAATCACTTTGTCACAAAATCAGCAAGTTGGTCTTATTCTAAGCCCTCTTAATGATTTCTTCAAAATATCAGCAAGTTGGAGTATTTTATTCGGGAAACAATTTTCTCACAGATGAAAAGGCTGTCAAGTTCGACATTTTTGGTTCGATGTTGCAACAACCATTACATGATATTCTGCTTCTACTACATCATATATCTTGTTATTCCAAGAAATCAGATCATCAGTGATCAAAATACAGTGACCAGATATAAACCTTCTTTTAATAGGACAACCAGCCCAGTATGTATCACAGTATCTTATCCCCCATGTCTGTATAGAGGAGTCCTTGTCCTGGAGTGCTTTTAATATACCTTAGAGTCTGAAGTACAACATCTTAGGGGCGTGTGGTGACAGATGGTGACTGGAGGGATGTGATCGGACTCACAGGGACACGATGATCGCACTTGTGGTGATGGTAGTGTCGTTGGCAGAGCAACAGATAGGTTTAGTTCTTCAAGAGAAAAAACCTAACATTTTTGTCAATTTAAATAGTGCATAGGGTGCGGCAGAGAACTGATGAAGGTGGGATTATCAATGACATAACATGGTGATGAGGATGTTTGATGGTGGGATTATCAACGACGGAACATGGTGATGAGGATGCTTGATGGTGGGATTTGATTTTGGATCTCACTACAAGAGTTAAACTCTCAGACGGAAAAGTGGACAAAAGTTACACTTCACGCCGGAAATTTGTAAGATCGTGATACAATGTGAATTCAAAGGTATAGTCTATATTTTCCACTCTCATAAATTCAAATGGAGCAGATATAGGTATATAATAAGCATACAAAAAAATTAGGATTTATAGTTTTGGTATGACATCACATGCTAATCACATGCTTACATCATGTTGAATTAATTAAGAAATGTCTGAAGGGGTGAATCCTTTAGTACACCAAGTATGTGTAGAGGTGGGTTGAGCCCTTTAGTACAGCCATGTATGTGAAGAGTAGTCTTTTAACATTTCCCATGTAGGTGGAACCGTTTGTTATAACCTACGTATACCTTGGAGTTTATGAATGTAATGTATTAATGTGTCTGTGTGTGCAGTGAAGGATTTGTGTGGTGAGAAATAAAACGTTATTCTACAAAATGATAATAGTCAGAGAACATACTTGTGAAAGCCTCTTTGATATGTTATATTCTGATTCCAACATGTGAAATTTTGGTTTCTTAAGCGCCTCAAGAAATTCATGGAAACAAGTCTCCCATGATGGATGTGCTGTTATATAATCTCCTTCACATTTAGAACTTTCATACTCTAATTTATTGTCAGCACCACCCTGCATAACGATAAGAAATATTTTGACATATCTTGACAGAGAAACCAAACAAAGGGCTGCCACGTTTCCTAAATAGATGGATCTATAACATGGCATTCAATAGCATAAAATAAAATAATATTCTAATTCACAAAACAGTTGTTATAACTTAAGCTCGGTGGAGAAAGCTATAAAACAATTATTTGTTAAAATAGAACATTCCCTCTAAAACTATAGAAAATAAATGCAATTCATACCCATACAAAGAACCAAATCACTTGGGAACAATACAAACCTTAAGATCCGGAAGTTTATATTTACAGTGAAGGCACAACTCTTCCTTTAGTTTTGAATAGAACTCCAGATAATTATCTAGCTTTCTAATGGACAAACTGCTTGGAAGTGGTTCCCCATGATCCAAACTCGATGTCTCATTGTCAGCTCTTCTTTGAAAAATGGAATCTTTAGGCTCCCATGATACATCAGCTATTGCATCTTCATCATTCACTAAATTAGAAATGTCACCTGAATAAGGGGGTTCTACAACATCAGAAAGGTTTTTCAAGGAGCTCGCAGAAGAGGTGTGTTCTGCTTGGTCGTGTAAACTAGGTATGACATCATTGATTGAAATGCCGGGGTTTAGTTTTTTATCACTCTTCTGGAAAGGAATTTGATGACACATAAAACCATCGTTGATGGTAGAAGAGACATCAAAATCCAGTTCTTCATTTCCAAATACAGATAAGGGCAAAGCTCCTTCATAAATAGACCCTGACATGTTCACCTGAAGCAGGGCCAGCTATGCATTAGACAAAAAAAGAATTGTAAAATAATTTTTTAAGCAAGAGAAAATATTAGCTACTGTTTATGCCTGATAAATGGTCTTGTGACAAAAATTTAAAAAACTAAAAAGGGCTTTGAGGCGTAAGCCTTGTAATTAAAATATGATACTTTAAAATCATTAAATTCATTCAGGTATGTAAATGACAAAATTAAACTCCTAAAGAGATATTAGTAATTCCTAACAAGAACGATAATAGCATGACACTTAATTGTAAAAATGATCACATATTTAAGTCAACTCTTGAACCCAAAAACAAGGATGAGCAGGAAATCGAATAAAGGAGAAAAGTAGTACTCTATTAATTTTGAAGAAAATGGTTAAGTAAAATTGCAGAGAATAGAGCATAGAGCAAAGAACAAAAAAATTATCTTGAGCATGTTGGACCAATCTTGACATTCAGTAATAGTTAGGGGGTTTATTTTGTAATTATGTTGAAGTCTTTATTTGTTAATAATTAGGATAGAGTCAGTCATAATTTTAGGAGATATATCTCAGATGGATTTGAGATTATCATAGCTTGTAGGAGTAGGAGATGTTATGCTTGGAGAGCAAGGCTGATGATTTAACTTGGTGGACAAGGTTAACTCATCTATAAATAGGGATAGTTTCTCTGTATTTTATGCATTCAAAGTTTTTCAATTAATTGGAGAAGGATTTCCAATAAGTTCTTGTTCTAGATTTCTGTTTTCTGTTTATCGAGATCTGGTACCAATAACTTCA